GCCGGAGCCCAGCAGGTCGAGGCTGCGGTGGCCGGGAGCGGCCCCTGCACTCCAGTCTGGGCAACAGAGTGAGACTCCAACTCAAAAAAAAAATAAATAAATAAATAAATAAATAGTAGCTTTCTGTACAACTGCTCTGCACTTCACCAGTCACACCTGTGGCTCCAGACAAACCTGGATTTAGATTCTGACCTTTCTCTTTATTTGCTCTGTGGTAACTCATGGCCGGTTTGGTGTGTCTTGTCCCTCAGTGCTGTGCCAGGCACTTCACGTCCCTTCTCTCCTCTCAAGTGTTGCCCTTTGTGCCAAATAATTGTTGGATCCAGTTTTAGTGCCACTTCAGGGAGAGACTGACTCTGCTGTGTAGGAGATGGTGTGGGAATCCATGATTCCTGGGTGGGAGCTCCCGAGCCCCTCTCCTGGTGCAGGGTTTTCTCTGTAGCCAAAGGTTGCCTGCCACTGGTGGGGGTAGGACGACTTACAGAGGTATTTGAATCCAAAGACCCTTGTGAGGGTGGAGGAAAGGTTTTTAAAAACAACTTAAGTGAAAAAGTATTCCAAGAAATATCCCAAGTGTCTTTTTTTTTTTAGTCCCCTTCCCTTCTCCCCCTACCCCCCAGCCCTTTTCTCTCCCCAAGTGTCTTTCAACTCCTTTCCACCCCTGGTATTTTGCCCTAGTCAGAGTTGCTCTCTTGGTATTAGAGTTCAGGCTGAGGCTACCCCTGAGCTCCTTGCAGAAGCCAAGGCACAACTCTAAAAGGGCCCTCCACAAATGCAAACCATGGCCATATGAATTAGGTTCTGTTTCCTTTCTTCAGGATAAGGAGTTATCCTAATTAATGCTTGGAATTCCCGTTTCTTTCATGTGATTCCAATGAGATATTTCTGAGATGACAGCTCATGGTAGGATTATTGACTAGGTTTTTTTGTTTTTTTTTTTGAGTTGGAGTCTCACTCTGTCACCCAGACTGGAGTGCAATGGCCGCTCCCGGCCACCGCAGCCTCGACCTGCTGGGCTCCGGGGATCCTTCCGCCTCAGTCTTCCGAGTAGCCGGAATTACAGGCACGCGCTACCACGCCCGGCTGATTTTTTGATTTATTGTAGAGATGAGGTCTCGCTGCCCAGGCGGGTCTCGAAGCCGCAGGCTCAGGCAATCCACTCACCTTGGCCTCCCAAAGTGCTGGGATTACAGGCTGAGCCACCAAGCCCGGCCTTGACTATGTTTTTTACAGTTTCCAGGAAGACATAAGTGCCTAGTGATTCCCAAGGTTAGAGTGTGTTTCCTACACGTTGAGGTTTCCATCCTCTCTGTCTCTCCTGTAGACCCTTACACCTCACATTTTCTTCTTCTGGTACATCAGAGTAGGAGGATGTTTTCAGCTATTGAGTGCTAAGTGCAGATGGGGTCCTCACCTGAGTCCTGAGATTTTATGGTTTCTGTGTCTGTCTACATCTTTAGTGGTGGTACTGGAAGGATCCTGGGGTGACTTGGTTGAACACTTATAGTCAAGGAATTAAGGCCCAGAAAGACGAAGTGGTTGAAATTAAGGTTGATGGAAGACACAGAGACTTCTTTCTCAGGAAACAAATGTCCATAGATGGACACACCCATTCATCTTCAGGGAGTGCTGGTTTTGCTGAAACAGCACTAAACTGGATCCAACTCAATAGCTTGGCATGAAGGGTAACACAATAGAGAGAGGAAAGAAGGGAAATGATATGCCTGGCACAACCTTGAGGGACAAGACATACCTACTTCTCTAAGAGTAGAGGATGTTACTAGTGCCTGTTTAGTTTCCTGGTGATGAGTTACAGTTGAGACAGGTTTTAGAATTTGACTGGGCGCAGGCTTACACCTATAAACCTAGCTCTTTGGAAGGCTTAGTCAGGAGGATTGCTTGAGCCCGGGAGTTCAAGACCAGCCTAGGCAACATAGCAAGACTTCATCTCTACAAAAAATAAAAAAATTAACCGGGTATGGTGGCGCATGCCTGTAGTCCCAGCTACTCGGGAGGCTAAGGCAGAAGGATCACCTGAGCTGCCCAGGAGGTTGAGGCTGCAGTAAGCTGTAATTGTGTCTGGGTGACAGAGTGAGACCTGGACTCAAAAAAGAAAGAAAGAAATAGAATCAATAATACTGATATTTACAGGGAACACTGTGACTTAGGAGTCTTACTTAATAAAACTCCTTACTAAAGACCATAGAACCAGGCAGAGTCACCAATTGCAACTCAATCTGGCTTGAGTTTATTGAGATAATTCACATACCATAAAATCTACCCTTTTAAAGTGTACAATTTAGGTTGTTTTTAGTACATTCAAAGAGTTGTGTGATCACCACACTACTATCTAATTTTAGGACATTCTCATCACCCCAAAAATAAACCCCATACCCATTAGCAGTTACACCCTATGCTCCCCTCCCTCCACCCTCTCCCAACTTCTAGAACCGTGTCTGTCTCTAAAGGTTTGCCTTTTCTGGACATTTCATATATATGGACACATAGAAAACATGGCCCTTGTTTCTGGCTTCTTTCACTTAGCATAATATTTTTAAGGTTCATCCATGTTGTAGTTCTTCCATGTATCAGCACTTCTTTCCTTTTTATTGTTGAATAACATTCCATTTTATGGATATATTACATTGTGTTTATTCATTTATCAGTGATGAACATTTGGGTTGTTTCCACTTTTTGGCTATTCTGAATAATGTTGCTATGAACATTTGTGTATATGTTTTTGTGTGAACATTTATTTTTCAATTCTCTTGGGTATTATATCCAGAAGAGGGATTGTTGAGTCATTTGGTAAATCTGTGTTTAACCTTTTGAACAGCTGAGCTCGGTGGCTCAGCCTGTAATCCCATGCCTTGGGAGGCTGAGGTGAGTGAATTGCCTGAGCCCGCGGGTTCGAGACCCACCTGGGCAAGTTGGAGAGACCCCATCTCTACAATATATTTAAAAAAATCAGCCGGGCATGGTAGCGCATGCCTGTAATTCAGGCTACTCGGGAGGCTGAGGCGGAAGGATCGCTGGAGCCCAGCAGGTCGAGGCTGCGGTGGCCGAGAGTGGCCACTGCACTCCAGTCTGGGCAACAGAGTGAGACTCCAACTCAAAAAAAAAAACCTTTTGAACAGCCAAATTGCCTTCTAGAATGTACCATTTTACATGCCCACCAGCAATTTCTCCAATTTCTCCACATCCTCACGAACACTTGTGATTGTCAGTTGTTTTGTTTATAGCCATTTGTATAACTTCTTTGGAGAATTGTCTGTTGAAGTAAATCCTGCACAATTTTTTAATTGTGTTATCTAGCTTGCTTATTACACCCTGCATTTTGATCTTCTCTCTGTCCTGTGGCATCTGGCAGGTGGGCCACTTCTTATGGCATGTGCCTGTCAGTCATTGGCTTTGTGCCAGCTGTCTTGCATTACGTTGGGACTTAACCCCCTTTTCTATTTAAATATGTCCTAGAGGATTTAAGACTCCTAGAAACTGAAAGGGCTGAAAGTCCTAAATCTTTCCAGGAACAGAGTTCTAATTGTTTTAAATCTGGGACTGCACAATCACCCTAGGATGAGAAAGGGTTGCTAAACAGATCTTCTTGGACAGTGGGCAAGTTTTCAAATATTTACCAGTCACATGAACCATACATGTACATATGCATTTTTCAAAGCAGATACCATGTGGTATATTTCTTTTGAGTCTCTTGCATTGTATGATTGTAATACTTTTTATGCAGTAGTATGATGAAATATTTGTTGTTTGACAAGAATGTCCTTTCTATAGCTGCTTGGCAGGTTTAAGACATGGTTGTGCTGAAATGTGCAAGAGGGTACTTTGCGCTAGGAGGCCCTGAGCTTTTTGAGAGGATCTTCCCTGCTGGTGGCTCACAGATCCTCCATCCTTAAGCAGTGTGGCTGTCTGCTGAGGGGCACATGTGCTGCTATTTATGTTTGGTGACTTTTTCAGTGATTGTTTTTAGTTTAGCATTTGAGAATCTAATTTAATTTTGTAAGTGTGTAAAGTGTTGATTACCCACGCTTGCTGCTGACACTTAACAGTGAATCTCTTCTACCTGGAGTCCAAATTTGTCCTGGATCAGTTCTGCTATTGTTGAAATCACAGCAACTAATAGAATTTAAAATTTCTTTGACATTTGAAATAAAAACCATTGACTGAAGCAGGTAGGAGGCCCTTTCGGGTGTTTGGATGAGTTTCTGATGGAGTTATGCCTGTTTTTGTTTTTTTTCCTCCCCACTATTTCAAATCTCAGAATAACAGCA